TTGATGGTGGTGGTTGTTGGCAGCGATGTTGATGGTTGGTGGTGTTGGTAACGATGTTGATGGTGGTTGGTGTTGGTAGCGATGTTGATGGTGGTGGTGTTGGCAGCGATGTTGATGGTGGTGGTGTTGGTACCGATGTTGATGGTGGTGTGTTGGTAGCGATGTTGATGGTGGTGTGTTGGTAGCGATGTTGATGGTGGTGGTGTTGGTAGCGATGTTGATAGTGGTGGTGGTGTTGTAGCGATGTTGATTGTGGTGGTGGTATTGGTAGCGATGTTGATTGTGATGGTGGTGGTGTTGGTAGCGATGTTGATGGTGGTGATGTTGATAGCGATGTTGATGGTGGTGGTGCTGGTAGCGATGTTGATGGTGGTGGTGTTGGTAGCGATGTTGGTGGTGGTGGTGGTGTTGGTAGTGATGTTGATGGTGGTGGTGGTGGTAGCGATGTTGATGGTGGTGATGTTGATAGCGATGTTGATGTTGATGGTGGTGTTGGTAGTGATGTTGATGGTGGTGTTGGTAGCGATGTTGATGGTGGTGATGTTGATAGCGATGTTGATGTTGATGGTGGTGTTGGTAGCGATGTTGATGGTGGTGTTGGTAGCGATGTTGATGTTGATGGTGGTGTTGGTAGCGATGTTGGTGGTGGTGGTGTTGGTAGTGATGTTGATGTTGATGGTGGTGTTGGTAGTGATGTTGATGGTGGTGATGTTGGTAGTGATGTTGATGGTGGTGATGTTGGTAGTGATGTTGATGGTGTTGGTGGCGATGTTGGTAGCGATGTTGATGGTGGTGTTGGTAGCGATGTTGATGGTGGTGGTGTTGGTAGTGATGTTGATGGTGGTGGTGGTAGCGATGTTGATGGTGGTGGTGTTGGTAGCGATGTTGATGGTGGTGGTGTTGGTAGCGATGTTGATGGTGGTGTTGGTAGTGATGTTGATAGTGGTGGTGTTGGTAGTGATGTTGATGGTGGTGGTGTTGGTAGTGATGTTGATGGTGGTGGTGTTGGTAGCGATGTTGATGGTGTTGTTGGTAGCGATGTTGATGGTGGTGTTGGTAGTGATGTTGATAGTGGTGGTGTTGGTAGTGATGTTGATGGTGGTGGTGTTGGTAGTGATGTTGATGGTGGTGGTGTTGGTAGTGATGTTGATGGTGGTGGTGTTGGTAGTGATGTTGATGGTGGTGGTGTTGGTAGTGATGTTGATGGTGGTGGTGTTGGTAGCGATGTTGATGGTGGTGTTGGTAGTGATGTTGGTGGTGGTGGTGTTGGTAGCGATGTTGATGGTGGTGTTGGTAGCGATGTTGATGGTGGTGTTGGTAGTGATGTTGATGGTGGTGGTGGTAGCGATGTTGATGGTGGTGGTGTTAGTAGCGATGTTGATGGTGGTGGTGTTGGTAGTGATGTTGATGGTGGTGGTGTTGGTAGCGATGTTGATGGTGGTGGTAGCGATGTTAATGGTGGTGGTGTTGGTAGTGATGTTGATGGTGGTGGTGTTGGTAGCGATGTTGATGGTGGTGGTAGCGATGTTAATGGTGGTGGTGTTGGTAGTGATGTTGATGGTGGTGGTGTTGGTAGCGATGTTGATGGTGTTAGTAGCGATGTTGATGGTGGTGGTGTTGGTAGTGATGTTGATGGTGGTGGTGTTGGTAGCGATGTTGATGGTGGTGGTAGCGATGTTAATGGTGGTGGTGTTGATGATGGTGGTCGTGTTGGTAGCGATGTTGATGGTGGTGTTGGTAGCGATGTTGATGGTGGTGTTGGTAGCGATGGTGGTGGTGGTGTTGATGGTAGTGATGTTGATGGTAGTGATGTTGATGGTGGTGGTGCTGGTAGTGATGTTGATGGTGGTAGTGGTGGTGTTGGCGATGTTGATGATGGTGGTGTTGGTAGCAATGTTGATGGTGGTGGTAGCGATGTTGATGGTGGTGTTGGTAGCGATGTTGATGGTGGTGGTGGTAGCGATGTTGATGATGATGTTGGTAGTGATGTTGATGGTGGTGGTAGCGATGTTGATGGTGGTGGTGTTGGTAGCGATGTTGATGGTGGTGGTGTTGGTAGCGATGTTGATGGTGGTGGTGTTGGTAGCGATGTTGATGGTGGTGTTGGTAGCGATGTTGATGGTGGTGGTGTTGGCAGCGATGTTGATGGTGGTGGTATTGGTAACGATGTTGATGGTGGTGGTGTTGGTAGCGATGTTGATGGTGGTGGTGTTGGCAGCGATGTTGATGGTGGTGGTGTTGGTAACGATGTTGATGGTGGTGGTGTTGGTAGCGATGTTAGTGGTGGTGGTGTTGGTACCGATGTTGATGGTGGTGGTGTTGGTAGCGATGTTGATGGTGGTGGTGTTGGTAGCGATGTTGATGGTGGTGGTGTTGGTAGCGATGTTGATAGTGGTGGTGGTATTGGTAGCGATGTTGATTGTGATGGTGGTGGTGTTGGTAGCGATGTTGATGGTGGTGATGTTGATAGCGATGTTGATGGTGGTGGTGTTGGTAGCGATGTTGATGGTGGTGGTGTTGGTAGCGATGTTGGTGGTGGTGGTGGTGTTGGTAGTGATGTTGATGGTGGTGGTGGTGGTAGCGATGTTGATGGTGGTGATGTTGATAGCGATGTTGATGTTGATGGTGGTGTTGGTAGTGATGTTGATGGTGGTGTTGGTAGCGATGTTGATGGTGGTGATGTTGATAGCGATGTTGATGTTGATGGTGGTGTTGGTAGCGATGTTGATGGTGGTGTTGGTAGCGATGTTGATGTTGATGGTGGTGTTGGTAGCGATGTTGGTGGTGGTGGTGTTGGTAGTGATGTTGATGGTGGTGATGTTGGTAGTGATGTTGATGGTGGTGATGTTGGTAGTGATGTTGATGGTGTTGGTGGAGATGTTGGTAGCGATGTTGATGGTGGTGTTGGTAGCGATGTTGATGGTGGTGTTGGTAGCGATGTTGATGGTGGTGGTGTTGGTAGTGATGTTGATGGTGGTGGTGGTAGCGATGTTGATGGTGGTGGTGTTGGTAGCGATGTTGATGGTGGTGGTGGTAGCGATGTTGATGGTGGTGGTGTTGGTAGCGATGTTGATGGTGGTGTTGGTAGCGATGTTGATGGTGGTGGTGTTGGTAGTGATGTTGATGGTGGTGGTGGTAGCGATGTTGATGGTGGTGGTGTTGGTAGCGATGTTGATGGTGGTGGTGTTGGTAGCGATGTTGATGGTGGTGTTGGTAGTGATGTTGATGGTGGTGGTGTTGGTAGTGATGTTGATGGTGGTGGTGTTGGTAGCGATGTTGATGGTGGTGGTGGTGTTGGTAGCGATGTTGATGGTGTTGGTAGCGATGTTGATGGTGGTGTTGGTAGTGATGTTGATGGTGGTGGTGGTAGCGATGTTGATGGTGGTGGTGTTAGTAGCGATGTTGATGGTGGTGGTGTTGGTAGTGATGTTGATGGTGGTGGTGTTGGTAGCGATGTTGATGGTGGTGTTGTTGATGATGGTGGTCGTGTTGGTAGCGATGTTGATGGTGGTGGTGTTGATGATGGTGGTGGTGTTGGTAGCAATGTTGATGGTAGTGATGTTGATGGTGGTGGTGGTGTTGGTAGCGATGTTGATGGTGGTGGTAGCGATGTTAATGGTGGTGGTGTTGATGATGGTGGTCGTGTTGGTAGCGATGTTGATGGTGGTGGTGTTGATGATGGTGGTGGTGTTGGTAGCAATGTTGATGGTAGTGATGTTGATGGTGGTGGTGGTGTTGGTAGCGATGTTGATGGTGGTGGTGTTGGTAGCGATGTTGATGGTGGTGTTGGTAGCGATGTTGATGGTGGTGGTAGTGTTGGTAGTGATGTTGATGGTGGTGGTGTTGGTAGCGATGTTGATGGTGGTGGTAGTGTTGGTAGCGATGTTGATGTTGGTGGTGTTGGTAGTGATGTTGATGGTGGTGGTGTTGGTAGCGATGTTGATGGTGTTGTTGGTAGTGATGTTGATGGTGGTGGTGGTGTTGGTAGCAATGTTGATGGTGGTGGTGTTGGTAGTGATGTTGGTGGTGGTGGTGTTGGTAGCGATGTTGATGATGGTGTTGGTAGCGATGTTGATGGTGGTGGTGGTGTTGGTAGTGATGTTGGTGGTGGTGGTGTTGGTAGCGATGATGATGGTGGTGTTGGTAGCGATGTTGATGGTGGTGGTGGTGTTGGTAGCGATGTTGATGGTGGTGGTGTTGGTAGCGATGTTGATGATGGTGTTGGTAGCGATGTTGATGGTGGTGGTGTTGGTAGCAATGTTGATGGTGGTGTTGGTAGCGATGTTGATGGTGGTGGTGTTGGTAGCGATGTTGATGGTGGTGGTGGTGTTGGTAGCGATGTTGATGATGGTGTTGGTAGCGATGTTGATGGTGGTGGTGGTGTTGGTAGCGATGTTGATGATGGTGGTGGTAACAATGTTGATGGTGGTGGTGGTAGCGATGTTGATGATGGTGTTGATAGCGATGTTGATGGTGGTGTTGGTAGCAATGTTGATGGTGGTGGTGTTGGTAGCGATGTTGATGGTGGTGGTGGTGTTGGTAGCAATGTTGATGGTGGTGGTGGTAGCGATGTTGATGGTGTTGGTAGCGATGTTGATGATGGTGTTGGTAGCGATATTGATGGTGGTGGTGTTGGTAGCGATGTTGATGGTGGTGGTCTTGGTAGCGATGTTGATGGTGGTGGTGTTGGTAGTGATGTTGATGGTGGTGGTGTTGGTAGCGATGTTGATGGTGGTGGTGTTGGTAGCGATGTTGATGGTGGTGGTGTTGGTAGCGATGTTGATGGTGGTGGTGGTGTTGGTAGCTGTGTTGATGGTGGTGGTGTTGGTAGCGATGTTGATGGTGGTGGTGTTGGTAGCGATGTTGATGGTGGTGTTGGTAGCGATGTTGATGATGGTGTTGGTAGCGATGTTGATGGTGGTGGTGTTGGTAGCGATGTTGGTGGTGGTGTTGGTAGCGATGTTGATGGTGGTGGTGGTGTTGGTAGCTGTGTTGATGGTGGTGGTAGCGATGTTGATGGTGGTGGTGTTGGTAGCGATGTTGGTGGTGGTGTTGTTAGCGATGTTGATGGTGTTAGTAGCGATGTTGATGGTGGTGGTGTTGGTAGTGATGTTGATGTTGATGGTGGTGGTAGCGATGTTGATGGTGGTGTTGTTAGCGATGTTGATGGTGGTGGAGTTGGTAGCGATGTTGGTGGTGTTGGTGGTGTTGGTAGCGATGTTGATGGTGGTGTTGTTAGCGATGTTGGTGGTGGTGTTGGTAGCGATGTTGATGGTGGTCGTGTTAGCGATGTTGGTGGTGGTGTTGGTAGCGATGTTGATGGTGGTGGTGTTGGTAGTGATGTTGATGGTGGTGTTGGTGTTGGTAGTGATGGTGGTGGTGTTGGTAGTAATGTTGATGGTGGTGTTGGTGTTGGTAGTGATGGTGGTGGTGTTGGTAGTAATGTTGATGGTGGTGTTGTTGGTAGCGATGTTGATGGTGTTGGTAGTGATGTTGATGGTGGTGGTGTTGGTAGCGATGTTGATGGTGGTGGTAGTAATGTTGATGGTGGTGGTGTTGGTAGTGATGGTGGTGGTGTTGGTAGTAATGTTGATGGTGGTGTTGGTAGCGATGTTGATGGTGGTGGTGGTAGCGATGTTGATGGTGGTGGTGTTGGTAGCGATGTTGATGGTGGTGGTGTTGGTAGCGATGTTGATGGTGGTGGTAGCGATGTTAATGGTGGTGGTGTTGATGATGGTGGTCGTGTTGGTAGCGATGTTAATGGTGGTGGTGTTGATGATGGTGGTCGTGTTGGTAGCAATGTTGATGGTAGTGATGTTGATGGTGGTGGTGGTGTTGGTAGCGATGTTGATGGTGGTGGTGTTGGTAACGATGTTGATGGTGGTGGTGTTGGTAGCGATGTTGATGGTGGTGGTAGTGTTGGTAGTGATGTTGATGGTGGTGGTGTTGGTAGCGATGTTGATGGTGGTGGTCTTGGTAGCGATGTTGATGGTGGTGGTGTTGGTAGCGATGTTGATGGTGGTAGCGATGTTGATGGTGGTGGTGGTAGCGATGTTGATGGTGGTGTTGGTAGCGATGTTGATGGTGTTGGTAGCGATGTTGATGGTGGTGTTGGTAGCGATGTTGATGGTGTTGGTAGCGATGTTGGTGGTGGTGTTGGTAGCAATGTTGATGGTGGTGTTGGTAGCGATGTTGATGGTGTTGGTAGCGATGTTGATGGTGGTGGTAGTGATGTTGATGGTGGTGGTGTTGGTAGCAATGTTGATGGTGGTGGTGTTGGTAGCGATGTTGATGGTGGTGGTGTTGGTAGCGATGTTGATGGTGGTGGTAGTGATGTTGATGGTGGTGTTGGTAGTGATGTTGATGGTGGTGGTGGTAGCGATGTTGATGGTGTTGGTAGCGATGTTGATGGTGGTGGTAGTGATGTTGATGGTGGTGGTGTTGGTAGCAATGTTGATGGTGGTGGTGTTGGTAGCGATGTTGATGGTGGTGGTAGTGCTGTTGATGGTGGTGGTGTTGGTAGCGATGTTGATGTTGATGGTGTTGGTAGCGATGTTGATGGTGGTGGTAGTGATGTTGATGGTGGTGGTGTTGGTAGCGATGTTGATGGTGGTGGTAGTGATGTTGATGGTGGTGGTGTTGGTAGCGATGTTGATGGTGGTGGTATTGGTAGCAATGTTGATGGTGGTGTTGGTAGCGATGTTGATGGTGTTGGTAGCGATGTTGATGGTGGTGGTAGTGATGTTGATGGTGGTGGTGGTAGTGATGTTGATGGTGGTGTTGGTAGCGATGTTGATGGTGGTGGTGGTAGCGATGTTGATGGTGTTGGTAGCGATGTTGATGGTGGTGGTGGTAGTGATGTTGATGGTGGTGTTGGTAGCTGTGTTGATGGTGGTGGTGTTGGTAGCGATGTTGATGGTGGTGGTGGTGTTGGTAGCGATGTTGATGATGGTGTTGGTAGCGATGTTGATGGTGGTGGTGTTGGTAGTGATGTTGATGGTGGTGTTGGTAGCGATGTTGATGGTGGTGGTGGTGTTGGTAGCGATGTTGATGGTGGTGGTGGTGTTGGTAGCGATGTTGATGGTGGTGGTGGTGTTGGTAGCGATGTTGATGGTGGTGGTGTTGTTATCGATGTTGATGTTGGTAGCGATGTTGACAGCGATGCTGCTGATGTTGACAGCGATGTCGTCTTTGATGTCGTCGCTGATGTCATCGGTGATGGTGACACGGCACCCTTCTTACACCCTTCCCAACTCTCCCCCCCCATCATCATCATCGTTGCACTCTCCCCCACACTCTCCTCCACTCTCCTCTGTCCCACGTCCTCTCTACTCCGCAGACTACTCTCTCTACTCTGCAGAGTACTCTCCGTACTCTGTAGACTACTCTCTCTACTCTGTAGACTACTCTCTCTACTCTGCAGTGTACTCTCTCTACTCTGCAGTGTACTCTCCGTACTCCGCAGACGACTCTCTCTACTCTGTAGACTACTCTCTCTACTCTGTAGCGTACTCTCCGTACTCTGCAGCCTACTCTCCGTACTCTCCAGCCTACTCTCCGTACTCTCCAGCCTACTCTCCGTACACTCCAGCCTAATCTCCGTACTCTGCAGCCTACTCTCCGTACTCCACAGCGTACTCTCTCTACTCTCCAGCCTACTCTCCGTGCTCTCACCGGCAGCTCCGAGCCGCGTGCTCCCGTCCCCAGCGCGGTTCGTGCTCCCAGCGACGACGGCTGTGCTCTCCACCGGTGAGATCTCCGATCCCCCCGTCTGCCCGGAGCTCGGCGCGCTCCCCGCCTCCGTGCTCTCGGCGCCGCCCGGAGCGTCGCCCTTCCCTCCAGCGGCGTCTCCCCGTGTCCCCGCGTCTGGTCTTGTCTCCGCGACGTGTCCCCGTGTCTTCGTGTCTCCCCGTGTCTTCACATCTCCCCGTGTCTCCACGTGTCCCCGTGTGTCCTCATCTCCCCGTGTGTCCGCATCTCCTTGTGTCTCCGTGTCTCCCCGTGTCCCCACGTCTCCCTGTGTCTTCGTGTCTCCCCGTGTCTCCACGTCTCCCCGTGTCTCCGCGCCTCTCCGTGTCTCCACATCTCCTGGTATCCCCACGTCTCCCCGTGTCTCCACGTCTCCCCGTGTCACCACGTCTCCCCGTGTCTCCGCGTCTTCCCGTGTCTCCGCGTCTTCCCGTGTCTCCACATCTCCCAGCATACCCACGTGTCCCCGTGTCTCCACGTCACCAGGCGTCTCCGCGTCTGATTTTGTCTCCACGTCTCCCCGTGTGTCCTCATCTCTCCGTGTCTCCACATCTCCCGGCATCCCCATGTCTCCCCGTGTCCCCACGTCCGATCTTGTCACCATGACGTCTCCCCGTGTCTCCGCGTCTTCCCGTGTCTCCGCGTCTCCCGGCATCCCCATGTCTCCCCGTGTCTCCACGTCTCCCCGTGTCGCCGTGTCTTCCCGTGTCTCCACATCTCCCGGCATTCCCACGTCTTCCCGTGTCTCCACGTCTCCCCGTGTCTTCGCGTCTCCCGGCATCCCCACGTCTCCCCGTGTCTCCACGTCTCCCCGTGTCGCCGTGTCTTCCCGTGTCTCCACATCTCCCGGCATTCCCACGTCTTCCCGTGTCTCCACGTCTCCCCGTGTCTTCGCGTTTCCCGGCATCCCCACGCCTCTCCGTGTCTCCACGTCACCAGTTGTCTCCGCGTCTCCACCGCCGTGGGACAAGCCATCGGACAGCGTCCCTGTGGCCACCGTGGCCGCCGCTGTGGTGGCCACTGCCGCTGTGGTGGCCAAGGCCTCAGAGTCGTCTCCACCGGCCGGCCTCCCTCGGCCGCGTCCCTCCGTCGCACCTCGTATCCCGGCTGGCACCGCCACACCGTCCGGCGGATCCAGGACCCCCCTCGCGGTCGTAGCCCCGGTGGTGGCGGCAGGTGGCGGTGGTAGTGGCGGTGGCAGTGGTAGTGGTAGTGCCGGCACCGCGTCTCACCCCCGGGGCGTCCGGCTGGGCGAGCGAGTCGCCGGCAACGGCCGATTCGGCCGTGGCTCCGACCCGGTGCCCGGCTTGTCCGGTAACCCTAGAGTTGTTGTCGTTGTTGTTGTTGTTGTTGTCGTTGTTGTCCTCTGATATTTCTCTCCCACCTCCTGCTCCACCTCCTCCACCTCCTCCTCCACCTCCTCCTCCAGCTCCTCCAGCTTGTGGCTGCCGACCGACGCTGCCGGGAGAGACCTCAACCGTGCCGCCAACGCAAACCGACCCCTCCTCCTTCGTCTCTTCATTCCTCTCTTCCTTCCTGTCCTTCCTGTCCTCCTCCCTCTCCTCCTTCCTTTCCTTCTTCTCTTCATTCCTCTCCTCCTTCCTGTCCTTCCTGTCCTCCTTCCTGTCCTCCTCCCTCTCCTCCTTCCTTTCTTTTCTCTCTTCATTCTCCTGCTCCCTCTCCTTCCTGTCCAGGCCCCTCGACTCGCCTCCCGGCACCGCCCTCGTCACCGCCCCTGGCACCACCACCCCCGGCACCACCACCACCCCTGGCACCGCCGCCACGCCGTTGTTACCGCCGACGCCGCCACCGGCGCCGGCAACATCCACCGCCCTCCGCAGCCGCTGCTTGGGCCCGCACACCGGGCAGCGGCGGTCAAAGCTGCGGCCGCACACCGCGCACTTTGCCTTCGCCAAAACCGGCGCGGCGGCTGCACCGGCACCGGCGTTACCGGGGCCGCGCTCGTCTAGCCGCGGCCGCCCCCTCTTCCTCTTCTTGGGCTGCCCGTCGGCACAACCGGCGGGCCCCGGCGTGCCCGGCAAAGCGGGCGGCAAAGTGGGTGGCAACGGAGGCTCGCCGGGAGTGCCGTTGAGTCGGCGGGCCGAACCGACCGGCCCCTTCTTGCCGGCGCGGCCACCGCCGCCACCGCCACCGTTGAGACGTCCCCCCACGAGCTGGCGCCACGAGATGTGGCCGTCGTCGTCGTCGTCGGCGGCATTGCCGGTGCCGGCGGTGAGGAGGCGGACGCCGCAGAAGAACGACGGAGGGGCGGTTTTCTCCGCGCGGTCGCGCTGCTGCTGCTGCTGCTGCTGGTGGTGCTGGTGGTGGAGCTGGTGCTCCGTTTCGGCGTCGCCGGCGGCAATGCCGAGGAGCCGCGAGCAGTTGCGCCGCAGCAGCGCGGGACTCCAGAACTCGGGGTCCATCTGGAAAGGCCACCGCGACTTGAGGCGCAGCAGCAGCTCCGTGCGCAGCGAGTTGGGGATTGACACCGGGGTCACCGGGGTCGCGGGGGTTGCGGGGGTCACGGGGGGAGGGGCTTCGGTAGAGAGGGGCGTGTCCTGAGGGGCGGTGGGCGGGGCTTCGGTCGGGGTGGGCGGGGCTTCGACGAGGGTGGGCGGGGCTTCGACGAGGGTGGGCGGGGCTTGCGAGGGGAGCTGCCGAGGTTGGGCCGCTCCAAGGGACGGCGGCCGATTGGTCGGCGTCGCCGGGGTGGTCGTCGTCGTGGTTACCGGCGGGGTGGTCGTCGTGGTTACCGGGGTCGTGACGAGCGAGCCGGAACCCAGTGACAATGGCGGGCAGAGGGCCTCCAGCTTAGGGGGCGTGGCCGCCAGAGGGTGATTGGCCAGCTGGAAAGGGGGCGGAGCCTGGGGATTGCACGCCGCCGCCCGATTGGCCGAGGCGGGGCAAGGGGGCGGAGCCTGAGGATTGCACGCCGCCGCCCGATTGGCCGAGGGGGGCGAGGGGGCGGAGCCTGAGGATTGCACGCCGCCGCCCGATTGGCCGAGGCGGGGCGAAGGGGGCGGAGCCTGGGGATTGCACGCCGCCGCCCGATTGGCCGAGGCGGGGCGAGGGGGCGGAGCCTGAGGATTGCACGCCGCCGCCCGATTGGCCGAGGCGGGGCGAGGGGGCGGAGCCTGAGGATTGCACGCCGCCGCCCGATTGGCCGAGGCGGGGCGAGGGGGTGGGGCTGCAAGTGAGGCCTGTTTTAGTCTTCGGTAGTTGCAGGAAGTCGATGATGGTGGTGCTGGTGGTGGTGCTGGTGGTGCCGGTGGTGGTGGTAGTGCCGTTGACGATGGCGGTAGTGCCGTTGACGATGGCGGTAGTGCCGTTGACGATGGCGGTAGTGCCGTTGATGATGGCGGTAGTGCCGTTGACGATGGCGGTAGTGCCGTTGATGATGGCGGTAATGCCGTTGACGATGGCGGTAGTGCCGTTGATGATGGCGGTAGTGCCGTTGATGATGGCGGTAGTGCCGTTGACGATGGCGGTAGTGCCGTTGATGATGGCGGTAGTGCCCGTTGATGATGGCGGTAGTGCGTTGACGATGGCGGTAGTGCCGTTGATGATGGCGGGTAGTGCCGTTGATGATGGCGGTAGTGCCGTTGATGATGGCGGTAGTGCCGTTGACGATGGCGGTAGTGCCGTTGATGATGGCGGTAGTGCCGTTGATGATGGCGGTAGTGCCGTTGATGATGGCGGTAGTGCCGTTGACGATGGCGGTAGTGCCGTTGATGATGGCGGTAGTGCCGTTGATGATGGCGGTAGTGCCGTTGATGATGGCGGTAGTGCCGTTGACGATGGCGGTAGTGCCGTTGATGATGGCGGTAGTGCCGTTGATGATGGCGGTAGTGCCGTTGACGATGGCGGTAGTGCCGTTGACGATGTCGGTGGTGCCGTTGAAATCGGTAGTGGTGGCGGTGGTGCCTTTGACGGCGTCGGTAGCGCCGTTGACAACGTCGGTGTCGGTGAAGGAGCTACCGATGCTACCGGTGACGATGATGACGATGATGATGAGAAGAGGCACTCCAGCGCTGGCAGGGCGTCGGCCGAGGGAGCGCACAGGAAGGCGGTGAGGTGGCTGGCGCGCACCAACTCGCGGTCTTCCTGCGGCGCCAGGCAAGCCAGGGCTCGGCACAGGGCGATGATGGTGGCCGTGGCCGTGGCGCCGTCGCTTGACCAGGAGGTTGTTGTGGTTGTTGTGGTTGTTGTTGTTGAGGTGCCCATCTGAGCGCAGGCGCGAAGGCCCAGGAGGATGAGCTCCATGCACTCAACCAGGCCTCTCTCGCCCACCTAGAGAAGCGGGGGGGTGAGGGTCGATGTGTGTGTCTCTGTGGGGGTCTCTGTGGGGGTCTCTGTGGGGGTCTCTGTGGGGTCTCTATAGGTTGAGTCTGTGGGTCTCAGTGTTGAGTCTGTGGGTCTCAGTGCTGAGTCTGTGGGTCTCAGTGTTGAGTCTGTGGGTCTCAGTGTTGAGTCTGTGGGTCTCAGTGCTGAGTCTGTGGGTCTCAGTGCTGAGTCTGTGGGTCTCAGTGTTGAGTCTGTGGGTCTCAGTGCTGAGTCTGTGGGTCTCTGTGCTGAGTCTGTGGGTCTCAGTGCTGAGTCTGTGGGTCTCAGTGCTGAGTCTGTGGGTCTCAGTGCTGAGTCTGTGGGTCTCAGTGTTGAGTCTGTGGGTCTCTGTGCTGAGTCTGTGGGTCTCAGTGTTGAGTCTGTGGGTCTCTGTGCTGAGTCTGTGGGTCTCTGTGCTGAGTCTGTGGGTCTCAGTGTTGAGTCTGTGGGTCTCAGTGCTGAGTCTGTGGGTCTCAGTGCTGAGTCTATGGGTCTCTGTGCTGAGTCTGTGGCAGTGCTGAGTCTATGGGTCTCAGTGCTGAGTCTGTGGGTCTCTGTGCTGAGTCTGTGGGTCTCAGTGTTGAGTCTGTGGGTCTCTGTGCTGAGTCTGTGGGTCTCAGTGCTGAGTCTATGGGTCTCAGTGCTGAGTCTGTGGGTCTCTGTGCTGAGTCTGTGGGTCTCAGTGTTGAGTCTGTGGGTCTCAGTGCTGAGTCTGTGGGTCTCAGTGCTGAGTCTATAGGTCTCTTGCTGAGTCTGTGGCAGTGCTGAGTCTATGGGTCTCAGTGCTGAGTCTGTGGGTCTCTGTGCTGAGTCTATGGGTCTCAGTGCTGAGTCTGTGGGTCTCAGTGCTGAGTCTATGGGTCTCAGTGCTGAGTCTATGGGTCTCAGTGCTGAGTCTGTGGGTCTCTGTGCTGAGTCTGTGGGTCTCAGTGTTGAGTCTATGGGTAGCAATGTTGAGTCTGTGGGTCTCTGTGCTGAGCCTGTGGGTCTCAGTGTTGAGTCTGTGGGTCTCAGTGCTGAGTCTGTGGGTCTCAATGCTGAGTCTGTGGGTCTCTGTGGTGAGTCTGTAGGTCTCTGTGGTGAGTCTGTGGGTCTCAGTGCTGAGTCTGTGGGTCTCAGTGCTGAGTCTATGGGTCTCAGTGCTGAGTCTGTGGGTCTCAGTGCTGAGTCTGTGGTCTCAATGCTGAGTCTGTGGGTCTCAGTGCTGAGTCGTGGGCGTCTCAATGCTGAGTCTGTGGGTCTCTGTGGTGAGGTCGGTGGGTCTCAGTGAGTCTGTGGGTCTCAGCGCTGAGTCTGTGGGTCTCAGTGCTGAGTCTATGGGTTCTCAGGGGGTGCTGAGTCTGTTGGGTCCTCAGTGCTGAGTCTGTGGGTCCTCAGTGCTGAGTCTATGGTCTCAGTGCTGAGTCTGTGGGTCTCAGTGCTGAGTCTATGCCGTGGGCAGTGTCTGAGTCCTATGGGTCTCAGTGGGTTGAGTCTGTGGGGTCCTCAGTGCTGAGTCTAAGGTCTCATTGTTCTGTGGTCTCCGTGTTGAGTCTGTGGGTCTCCCAGTGTTGAGTCTGTGGTCTCAGTGTTGGAGTCTTGGGTCTCAGTGTTGAGTCCTGTGGGTCTCAGTGTGAGTCTGTGGGTCTCAGTTTGAGTCTGTGGGTCTCAGTGTTGAGGTCTGTGGGTCCTCAGTGTTGAGTTTCCCTGTGGGTCTCAATGCTGAGTCTGTGGTCTCAGCTGAGTCGTGGGTCTCAATGCTGAGTCTGTGGGTCTCTGTGGTGAGTCTGTGGGTCTCAGTGCTGAGTCTGTGGGGTCTCAGTGCTGAGTCTGTGGGTCTCTGTGGTGAGTCTGTGGGTCTCAGTGCTGAGTCTGTGGGTCTCAGTGCTGAGTCTGTGGGTCTCAGTGCTGAGTCTGTGGGTCTCAGTGCTGAGTCTGTGGGTCTCAGTGCTGAGTCTGTGGGTCTCAGTGCTGAGTCTGTGGGTCTCAGTTTTGAGTCTGTGGGTCTCAGTGTTGAGTCTGTGGGTCTCAGTGTTGAGTCTGTGGGTCTCAGTGCTGAGTCTGTGGGTCTCAGTGCTGAGTCTGTGGGTCTCAGTGCTGAGTCTGTGGGTCTCAGTGCTGAGTCTGTGGGTCTCAGTGTTGAGTCTGTGGGTCTCAGTGCTGAGTCTGTGGGTCTCAGTGTTGAGTCTGTGGGTCTCAGTGCTGAGTCTGTGGGTCTCAGTGCTGAGTCTATGGGTCTCAGTGCTGAGTCTATGGTCTCAGTGCTGAGTCTGTGTGTCTCAGTGCTGAGTCTATGGGTCTCAGTGCTGAGTCTGTGGGTCTCAGTGTTGAGTCTGTGGGTCTCAGTGTTGAGTCTGTGGGTCTCAGTGCTGATCTGTGGGTCTCAGTGTTGAGGTCTGTGGTCTCAGTGCTGAGTCTGTGGGTCTCAATGCTGAGTCTGTGGGTCTCTGTGGTGAGTCTGTAGGTCTCTGTGTTGAGTCTGTGGGGTCTCAGGCTTGAAGTCTGTGGGTCTCAGTGCTGAGTCTGTGGTCTCAGTGCTGAGTCTGTGGGTCTCAGTGCTGAGTCTATGGCAGTGCTGAGTCTATGGCAGTGCTGAGTCCGTGGGTCTCAGTGCTGAGTCTGTGGGTCTCAGTGCTGAGTCTCAGTGCTGAGTCTGTGGGTCTCAGTGTTGAGTCTGTGGGTCTCAGTGCTGAGTCTGTGGGTCTCAGTGTTGAGTCTGTGGGTCTCAGTGCTGAGTCTGTGGGTCTCAGTGCTGAGTCTATGTGGTCTCAGTGCTGAGTCTATGTGGTCTCAGTGCTGAGTCTGTGGGTCTCAGTGCTGAGTCTGTGGGTCTCAGTGCTGAGTCTGTGGGTCTCAGTGTTGAGTCTGTGGGTCTCAGTGTTGAGTCTGTGGGTCTCAGTGTGAGTCTGTGGGTCTCAGTGTTGAGTCTGTGGGTCTCAATGCTGAGTCTGTGGGTCTCTGTGTTGAGTCTGTGGGTCTCAGTGCTGAGTCTGTGGGTCTCAGTGTTGAGTCTGTGGGTCTCAGTGCTGAGTCTGTGGGTCTCAGTGTTGAGTCTGTGGGTCTCAGTGTTGTGAGTCTGTGGGTCTCAGTGCTGAGTCTGTGGGTCTCAATGCTGAGTCTGTGGGTCTCTGTGGTGAGTCTGTGGGTCTCAGTGCTGAGTCTGTGGGTCTCAGTGTTGAGTCTGTGGGTCTCAGTGTTGAGTCTGTGGGTCTCTGTGTTGAGTCTGTGGGTCTCAGTGCTGAGTCTGTGGGTCTCAGTGTTGAGTCTGTGGGTCTCAGTGCTGAGTCTGTGGGTCTCAGTGTTGAGTCTGTGGGGTCTCAGTGTTGAGTCTGTGGGTCTCATGCTGAGTCTGTGGGTCTCAGTGCTGAGTCTGTGGGTCTCATGCTGAGTCTGTGGGTCTCAGTGTTGAGTCTGTGGGTCTCAATGCTGAGTCTGTGGGTCTCTGTGTTGAGTCTGTGGGTCTCAATGCTGAGTCTGTGGGTCTCAGTGCTGAGTCTGTGGGTCTCAGTGTGAGTCTGTGGGTCTCAGTGTGAGTCTGTGGGTCTCAGTGCTGAGTCTGTGGGTCTCAGTGCTGAGTCTGTGGGTCTCATGCTGAGTCTGTGGGTCTCTGTGGTGAGTCTGTGGGTCTCAGTGCTGAGTCTGTGGTCTCAGTGCTGAGTCTGTGGGTCTCAGTGCTGAGTCTGTGGGTCTCAGTGCTGAGTCTGTGGGTCTCAGTGTGAGTCTGTGGGTCTCATGCTGAGTCTGTGGGTCTCTGTGTGAGTCTGTGGGTCTCTGTGGAGTCTGTGGGTCTCATGCTGAGTCTGTGGGTCTCAGTGTTGAGTCTGTGGGTCTCAGTGCTGAGTCTGTGGGTCTCAGTGCTGAGTCTGTGGGTCTCAGTGCTGAGTCTGTGGGTCTCTGTGCTGAGTCTGTGGGTCTCAGTGCTGAGTCTGTGGGTCTCAGTGCTGAGTCTGTGGGTCTCAGTGTTGAGTCTGTGGGTCTCAGTGCTGAGTCTGGGTCTCAGTGCTGAGTCTGTGGGTCTCTGTCTGAGTCTGTGGGTCTCTGTGCTGAGTCTGGTGGGTCTCTGTGCTGAGTCTGTGGGTCTCAGTGTTGAGTCTGTGGGGTCTCAGTGCTGAGTCTGTGGGTCTCTGTACTGAGTCTGTGGGTCTCTGTACTGAGTCTGTGGGTCTCTGTGCTGAGTCTGTGGGTCTCTGTGCTGAGTCTGTGGGTCTCAGTGCTGAGTCTGTGGGTCTCAGTGCTGAGTCTGTGGGTCTCAGTGCTGAGTCTGTGGGTCTCAGTGCTGAGTCTGTGGGTCTCAGTGCTGAGTCTGTGGGTCTCAGTGCTGAGTCTGTGGGTCTCAGTGCTGAGTCTATGGGTGGCAGTGCTGAGTCTGTGGGTCTCAGTGCTGAGTCTGTGGGTCTCAGTGCTGAGTCTGTGGGTCTCAGTGCTGAGTCTGTGGGTCTCAGTGCTGAGTCTGTGGGTCTCAGTGCTGAGTCTGGGGTCAGTGCTGAGTCTGTGGTCTCAGTGTTGAGTCTGTGGGTCTCAGTGCTGAGTCTGTGGGTCTCAGTGCTGAGTCTGTGGGTCTCAGTGCTGAGTCTGTGGGTCTCTGTGCTGAGTCTGTGGGTCCCAGTGCTGAGTCTGTGGGTCTCTGTGCTGAGTCTTGGGTCCCAGTGCTGAGTCTGTGGGTCTCAGTGCTGAGTCTGTGGGTCCCAGTGCTGAGTCTGTGGGTCTCAGTGTTGAGTCTGTGGGTCTCTGTGCTGAGTCTGTGGGTCTCAGTGCTGAGTCTGTGGGTCTCAGTACTGAGTCTGTGGGTCTCAGTGTTGAGTCTGTGGGTCTCTGTTGCTGAAGTCTGTGGGTCTCAGTGTTTGAGTCTGTGGGTCTCTGTGCTGAGTCTGTGGGTCTCTGTGCTGAGTCTGTGGGTCTCAGTGTTGAGTCTGTGGGTCTCATGCTGAGTCTGTGGGTCTCAGTGCTGAGTCTGTGGGTCT